TATATATATATATATATATATATAATACGTCTCATAAATTGCATATACTCCCTTCAACAGCACTCTAGATCTGCATGTTTTCTTCTTTATCAAATACCCTTATAAAGGTGAAGTTTTTAAAATGTCAAATATGAAGAAGTACTAGGAGATTTTTGTTACCATATTTAGCTTTTGCAATTAGACTTCACTTCAAGGGTACTTTTGCAATAAAATTTGGAACGAAATTAATATATATCATTAACAAAACTTACTCCGCTATAAACTATTAAATATTAATTGCTTACTCTCAGTAAGAGCAAAATAAGCAGCTCTACCAACATTCATCTTTGTCTGCTTTTTGTTTTTAGCGTCAGCCCCTCGAAATGTACGACCCCCCACCTCGACCGTGGATGCAAATATAGGACTACGGGGACAACCTGACTGGACAGTCTCGTATGATGGGCAAAAAGGACCCCTTTTCTGAACAAGTTCTTGCAGCAAATTTTTGTATAAACCTCCATCCTGATTCAATATTCCTTACATAAGATTGTCAACCAGGTGAAAAAAATTACTCAAAATAATGGTTAAATGATTGAGTTAATTAGTACACTAGCCTGTTGAGACACATCGAGAGATAACTCCTGACAAGCTACTTTAGCAGCCTCTTGTTCGGCTTCCTTCAGTGTAAAGGAAAATTCCATTGATATGAAGGAATGTTCCCCAACAGAGACACTTGACTTGAAACGGCGAGCATGGAAAGGGCCCTCAGCCTTGGTAGTATATATGGGGAGACTGAGGTTGTTTTTCTGAGAAAATTCTTGTAGTTGGTTCTTGTATATATTTAAAGTAGGGCTGAGCATGGGACTCAGAGAATTCCGAACTGTTTCGAAAATCGAACCGAAATCATTCCGAACCAAAAAATAACCGTTGACCGTTTGACTTTCTCCGAACCGAACCGAAAAAATAATTAGTACGGTTTTGGAGATTTCACAAATATCCGTACCGAGAACCGAACCGAACCGTCCCGTACTGTACCGAACCGAAGAACCGAAATTAAGAATCAAATTATAACATGAGATGTGTTATTAATATATTATATGTCAATTTTGATTCTATATAATAGTGATATATAAAATAATTATTTAAAATAATATGAAAGTTTAAAAAATATTTTTTTAAGAAAAATAATATTATATTTTATTTGAATTTTAAATTTTCAATATTAGTTGCACAAATTTAGTTATAACTAAAATTTAGAGTTACTTATAAAGTTGATTTCAAAATAAAATCTTTAATGTGAAAAAATACTGATGAATGTTAGTTTTATTAAAGCATATAAAAATTAAATAACTAATATTTAGAGTTACTTCTAGAATTGATTTTAAAATAAAATCTTCACTATGATGAATTATTGATGAATGTTGTTTTTTAAAGCATATAAAAATTAAAATATAACTAGGTAGTCATTCAAAAATAATTTAAAATATAAAAAATCTCCGAAGATCTGAACCAATCCATACCGAACTGAACCGTCTCAATAGTCTCGAATACCAAACCGAACCGAACCGAAAAATAAGAATCTCCGAACCGAACCGAACCGAATTTTTGGCATAGTTCCGGAGATCGAATTTTGGGATCTCCGAAGTTTGGTACGGTTCTGGAGATTTATCAATCTCCAAACCGTACCGACTCACGCTCACCCCTAATTTAAAGTACCTATGAAAGAACAGATAGAGCAATGGATGAAGAAAAAAATATTGCCCAAGAAACAACTATCTTCTCTTTTGTTTACAACAATGCAACTTGTGCATCATAATAAAAACATTTCAAAATGAAAGAACATATAAATTACCATGAGAAAGAGTTGGACGAGATGGAAGAGTGGAGAAGTACTCAAATGTGATTTGAGCGACGGTTTCCTGTGCCTCTTTAGTAGACTTGGATGGCAATGTCTCAAATACCTGTCCGTGTACAGTTACGGCGGCGGTGAAGCGAGGCATGTGACTGGGGCCATCTCCGAGGGTTTTGTATTTTGGAAGTGCCAACCTCCATCCCTGGCAGAGTTCCTGCAATCTTGATTTGCATATTTTCTTTCCTGCCATTCTCTTATGTTGTTCTAGTGGGGTGAGGGGAAATTGGGATTTCGCTGTGCGTTAATGAAAAGAGGGTTTTGTGGAGACGATGATTACATGTAGAATAAATAATGGGTAGGAGATATTTTTTTTGAAAAGAAATTTAAAGATTAAAAATTGCTCGCGCATCTAATGGCGAAGCTCTCATCATCAGATTAGATTAATATTTAATAGTTTCCACTTTTTCGAGGGGAAGCTGTCATCTATTGGGGAAACTGACAAAATAATAGAAGGTGGGGTCCAGGCTTGCGACCTGGTCCAGGGTTCAAGATGATCCTCTCACAATGTCGTATCAAATTTCATCCCACCGGCGCCCAGGTCTTCGGATTACCAATTGGAGCAAAATTTCAATTACTAAATTGAGCTACCCATATCTCCGTCCAAACGCACGCATGGTACAACTAAAAATTAAATAACTAATATTTAGAGTTACTTCTTGAATTGATTTCAAAATAAAATCTTCAATATGATGAATTATTGATGAATGTTGTTTTTTTTAAGCATATAAAAATTAAAATATAACTAGGTAGTCATTCAAAACTAATTTAGAAAATAAAGAATCTCCGAAAATCCGAACCAAACCATACCGAACCAAACCGAATCGTCCCAATAGTCTCGAATACCAACCCGCGAACCGAAAAATAAGAATCTCTAAACCGAACTGAACCGACTTTTTGGCACGGTTCCAGAGATCGAATTTTGAGATCTCCGAAGTTTGGTACGGTTCTGGAGATTTATCAATCTAATCTCCGAACCGTACCGACCCACGCTCACCCCTAATTTAAAGTACCTATGAAAGAACAAATAGAGAAATGGATGAAGAAGAAAATATTGTCCAAGAAACAACTATCTTCTCTTCTGTTTACAACAATGCAACTTGTGCATCATAATAATAAAAAAAAAAAATTCCAAATGAAAGAACATATAAATTACCATGAGAAGGAGTTGGACGAGACAGAGGAGTGGAGAAGTACTCAAATGCGATTTGAGCGGCGGTTTCCTGTGCCTCTTTAGTAGACTTGGATGGCAATAGAGTCTCAAATACCTGTCCGTGTACAGTTACGGCGGCAGTGAAGCGAGGCATGTGACTGGGGCCATCTTCGATGGTTTCGTATTTTGGAAGCGCCAACCTCCATCCCTGGCAGAGTTCCTGCAATCTTGATTTGTACATTTTCTTTCCTGCCATTCTATATGTTGTTCTAGTGGGGTGAGGGGAAATTGGGATTTCGCTGTGCGTTAATGAAAAGAGGGTTTTGCGGAGACGATGATTACATGTAGAATAAATAATGGTAGGAGATATTTTTTTTTTGAAAAGAAATTTAAAGATTAAAAACTGCTCGCGCATCTAATGGGGAAGCTCTCATCATCAGATTTGATTAATATTTAATAGTTTCCACTTTTTCGAGGGGAAGCTGTCATCTATTGGGGAAACTGACAAAATAATAGAAGGTGGGGTCCAGGCTTACGACCTGGTCCAGGCTTCAAGATAATCCTCTTCCAATGTGGTATCAAATTTCATCCCACTGACGCCAGGTCTCCAGATTACCAATTGGAGCAAGATTCCAATTACTATGTTGAGCTACCCAGGTCTCCGTCCAAACGCACGCATGGTATAACTAAAAATTAAATAACTAATATTTAGAGTTACTTCTAGAATTGATTTCAAAATAAAATCTTCAATATGATGAATTATTAATGAATGTTGTTTTTTTAAAGCATATAAAAATTAAAATATAACTAGGTATTTCATTCAAAAATAATTTAAAAAATAAAAAATCTCTGAAGATCTGAACCAAACCATACTGAACCGAACCGTCCCAATAGTCCCAAATACGAAACTGAACCGAACCAAAAAGTAAGAATCTCTGAACCGAACCGAACCGACTTTTTGGCACGGTTCCGGAGATCAAATTTTGGGATCTCCGAAGTTTGGTACGGTTCTGGAGATTTATCAATCTCCGAGCCGTACCGACCCACGCTCACCCCTAATTTAAAGTACCTATGAAAGAACAAATAGAGCAATGGATGAAGAAGAAAATATTGTCCAAGAAACAACTATCTTCTCTTCTTTTTACAACAATGCAACTTGTGCATCATAATAAAAAAATTTCAAAATGAAAGAACATATAAATTACCATGAGAAAAGGAGTTGGACAAGACGGAAGAGTGGAGAAGTACTCAAATGCGATTTGAGCGGCGGTTTCTTGTGCCTCTTTAGTAGACTTGGATGGCAATGGAGTCTCAAATACCGGTCCATGTACAGTCTCAAGGGTACTTCTGCAATAAAATTTGGAACGGAATTATTATATATCATTAACAAAATTTACTCCGCTATAAACTATTAAATATTAGTTGCTTACTCTCGGTAAGAGCAAAATAAGCAGCTCCACCAACATTCATCTCTGCCTGCTTTTGCTTTTAGCGTCAGCCCCTCGAAATGTACGACCCCCCACATCGACCGTGGATGCAAATACAGGACTACAGGGACAACCTGACTGGACAGTCTCGTATGATGGGTAAAAAGGACCCCTTTTCTGAGCAAGTTCTTGCAGCAAATTTTTGTATCAACCTCCATCCTGATTCAATATTCCTTAATCCTTACATAAGATTGTCAACCAGGTGAAAAAAATTACTCAAAATAATGGTTAAATGATTGAGTTAAGTAGTACACTAGCCTGTTGAGACACATCGAGAGATAACTCCTGACAAGCTACTTTAGCAGCCTCTTGTTCGGCTTCCTTCAGTGTAAAGGAAAATTCCATTGCTATGAAGGAATGTTCCCCAACAGAGACACTTGACTTGAAACGGCGAGCATGGAAAGGGCCCTCAGCCTTGGTAGTATATATGGGGAGACTGAGGTTGTTTTTCTGAGAAAATTCTTGTAGTTGGTTCTTGTATATATTTAAAGTAGGGCTGAGCATGGGACTCAGAGAATTCCGAATTGTTCCGAAAATCGAACCAAAATCAATCCGAACCAAAAAATAACGTTGACCGTTTGACTTTCTCCGAACCGAACCAAAAAAATAATTGGTACGGATCTGGAGATTTCACAAATATCCGTACCGAGAACCGAACCGAACTGTCTCGTACTGTACCGAACCGAAGAACCGAAATTAAGAATTAAATTATAATATTAGATGTGTTATTAATATATTATATGTCAATTTTGATTCTATATAATAGTGATAAATATTAACCTTCACTTAAATTTCATGCTTAGTAATACTTGATCTACAATTGAATTTTTCTATTATAAAATAATTATTTAAAATAATATGAAAGTTTAAAAAAAAAAAATTTAAGAAAAATAATATTATATTTTATTTGAATTTTAAATTTTCAATATTAGTTGCACAAATTTAGTTATAACTAAAATTTAGAGTGACTTATAAAGTTGATTTCAAAATAAAATCTTTAATGTGAAAAAATACTGATGAATGTTAGTTTTATTAAAGCATATAAAAATTAAATAACTAATATTTAGAGTTACTTCTAGAATTGATTTCAAAATAAAATCTTCACTATGATGAATTATTGATGAATGTTGTTTTTTTAAAGCATATAAATATTAAAATATAACTAGGTAGTCATTCAAAAATAATTTAAAATATAAAAAATCTCTGAAGATCTGAACCAATCCATACCGAACTGAACCTTCCCAATAGTCTCGAATACCAAACCGAACCGAACCGAAAATTAAGAATCTCTGAACCGAACCGAACTGACTTTTTGGCACGATTCCGGAGATCGAATTTTGGGATCTCCAAGTTTGGTACGGTTCTGGAGATTTATCAATCTCCAAACCGTACCGACTCACGCTCACCCCTAATTTAAAGTACCTATGAAAGAACAGATAGAGCAATGGATGAAGAAGAAAATATTGTCCAAGAAACAACTATCTTCTCTTCTGTTTACAACAATGCAACTTGTGCATCATAATAAAAAATTTTCAAAATGAAAGAACATATAAATTACCATGAGAAAGAGTTGGACGAGATGGAAGAGTGGAAAAGTACTCAAATGTGATTTGAGCGACGATTTGTTGTGCCTCTTTAGTAGATTTGGATGGCAATGGAGTCTCAAATACCTGTCCGTGTACAGTTACGGCGGCGGTGAAGCGAGGCATGTGACTGGGGCCATCTCCGACGGTTTCGTATTTTGGAAGCGCCAACCTCCATCCCTGGCAGATTTCCTGCAATCTTGATTTGCATATTTTCTTTCCTGCCATTCTCTATGTTGTTCTAGTGGGGTGAGGGGAAATTGGGATTTCGCTGTGCGTTAATGAAAAGAGGGTTTTGCGGAGACGATGATTACATGTAGAATAAATAATGGGTAGGAGATATTTTTTTGAAAAGAAATTTAAAGATTAAAAATTGCTCGCGCATCTAATGGCGAAGCTCTCATCATCAGATTAGATTAATATTTAATAGTTTCCACTTTTTCGAGGGGAAGCTGTCATCCATTGGGGAAACTGACAAAATAATAGAAGGTGGGGTCCAGGCTTGCGACCTGGTCCAGGGTTCAAGATGATACTCTCCCAATGTCGTATCAAATTTCATCCCACCGGCGCCCAGGTCTTCGGATTACTAATTGGAGCAAAATTCCAATTACTAAATTGAGCTACCCATGTCTCCGTCCAAACGCACGCATGGTACAACTAAAAATTAAATAACTAATATTTAGAGTTACTTTTTGAATTGATTTCAAAATAAAATCTTCAATATGATGAATTATTGATGAATGTTGTTTTTTAAAGCATATAAAAATTAAAATATTACTAGGTAGTCATTCAAAAATAATTTAGAAAATAAAAAATCTCCAAAAATCCGAACCAAACCATACCGAACCGAACCGAACCGTCCTAATAGTCCCGAATACCAACCCGAACTGAACCGAAAAATAAGAATCTCTGAACCGAATTGAATCGACTTTTTGGCACGATTCCAGAGATCGAATTTTGGGATCTCCGAAGTTTGGTACGGTTCTGGAGATTTAACAATCTCTGAACCGTACCGACCTACGCACACCCCTAATTTAAAGTACCTATGAAAGAACAGATAGAGAAATGGATGAAGAAGAAAATATTGTCCAAGAAACAACTATCTTCTCTTCTGTTTACAACAATGCAACTTGTGCATCATAATAAAAAAAAAATTCAAAATGAAAGAACATATAAATTACCATGAGAAGGAGTTGGACGAGACGGAAGAGTGGAGAAGTACTCAAATGCGATTTGAGCGGCGGTTTCCTGTGCCTCTTTAGTAGACTTGGATGGCAATGGAGTCTCAAATACCTGTCTGTGTACAGTTACGACGGCAGTGAAGCGAGGCATGTGACTGGGGCCATATCCGACGGTTTCGTATTTTGGAAGCGCCAACCTCCATCCCTGGCAGAGTTCCTGCAATCTTGATTTGTACATTTTCTTTCCTGCCATTCTCTATGTTGTTCTAGTGGGGTGAGGGGAAATTGGGATTTCGCTGTGCGTTAATGAAAAGAGGGTTTTGCGGAGACGATGATTACATGTAGAATAAATAATGGGTAGGAGATATTTTTTTTGAAAAGAAATTTAAAGATTAAAAATTGCTCGCGCATCTAATGGGGAAGCTCTCATCATCAGATTAGATTAATATTTAATAGTTTCCACTTTTTCGAGGGGAAGCTGTCATCTATTGGGGAAACTGACAAAATAATAGAAGGTGAAGTCCAGGCTTGCGACCTGGTCTAGGCTTCAAGATAATTCTCTCCCAATGTGGTATCAAATTTCATCCCACCGGCGCCCAGATCTCCGAATTACCGATTGGAGCAAAATTCCAATTACTATATTGACCTACCCAGGTCTCCGTCCAAACGCACGCATGGTACAACTAAAAATTAAATAACTAATATTTAGAGTTACTTCTAGAATTGATTTCAAAATAAAATCTTCAATATGATGAATTATTGATGAATGTTGTTTTTCTAAAGCATATAAAAATTAAAATATAACTAGGTAGTCATTCAAAAATAATTTAAGAAATAAAAAATCTCCGAAGATCCGAACCAAACCATATTGAATCGAACCTTCCCAATAGTCCCAAATACCAAACTGAACCGAATCGAAAAATAAAAATCTCCGAACCGAACCGAACCGAACCGACTTTTTGGCACAGTTCCGTAGATCGAATTTTGGGATTTCCGAAGTTTGGTACGGTTCTGGAGATTTATCAATCTCCGAACCGTACCGACCCACGCTCACCCCTAATTTAAAGTACCTATGAAAGAACAGATAGAGCAATGGATGAAGAAGAAAATAATGTCCAAGAAATAACTATCTTCTCTTCTTTTTACAACAATGCAACTTGTGCATCATAATAAAAAAATTTCAAAATGAAAGAACATATAAATTAACATGAGAAAAGGAGTTGGACAAGACGGAAGAGTGGAGAAGTACTCAAATGCGATTTGCGCGGCGGTTTCCTGTGCCTCTTTACTAGACTTGGATGGCAATGGAGTCTCAAATGTCCGTGTACAGTCTCAAGGGTACTTTTGCAATAAAATTTGGAACGGAATTAATATATATCATTACCAAAATTTACCCCGCTATAAACTATTAAATATTAATTGCTTACTCTCGGTAAGAGCAAAATAAGCAGTTCCACCAACATTCATCTCTGCCTGCTTTTTGTTTTTAGTGTCAGCCCCTCGAAATGTACGACCCCCCACCTCGACCGTGGATGCAAATACAGGACTACGGGAACAACCTGACTGGACAGTCTCGTATGATGGGCAAAAAGGACTCCTTTTTCGAGCAAGTTCTTGCAGCAAATTTTTGTATAAACCTCCATCCTGATTCAATATTCCTTAATCCTTACATAAGATTGTCATCCAGGTGAAAAAAATTACTCAAATAATGGTTAAATGATTGAGTTAATTAGTACACTAGTCTGTTGAGACACATCGAGAGATAACTCCTGACAAGCTACTTTAGCAGCCTCTTGTTCAGCTTCTTTCAGTGTAAAGGAAAATTCCATTGTTATGAAGGAATGTTCCCCAACAGAGACACTTGACTTGAAACGGCGAGCATAGAAAGGGCCCTCAGCCTTGGTAGTATATATGGGGAGACTGAGGTTGTTTTTCTGAGAAAATTATTGTAGTTGGTTCTTGTATATATTTAAAGTATGGCTGAGCATGAGACTCAGAGAATTCCGAACTGTTCCGAAAACTGAACCGAAATCACTCCAAACCGAAAAATAACCGTTGACCGTTTGACTTTCTCCGAATTGGACTGAAAAAATAATTGGTACGGTTCTGGCGATTTCACAAATATCCGTACCGAGAACCGAACCGAACCGTCCCGTACTGTACCGAACCGAAATTAGAATCAAATTATAACATTAGATGTGTTATTAATATATTATATGTCAATTTTGATTCTATATAATATAGTGATAAATATTAACCTTTACTTAAATTTCATGCTTAGTAATACTTGATCTACAATTGAATTTTTCTATTATAAAATAGTTATTTAAAATAATATGAAGTTTAAAAAAATATTTTTTTAAGAAAAATAATATTATATTTTATTTGAATTTTAAATTTTCAATAATAGTTGCACAAATTTAGTTATAACTAAAATTTACAGTTACTTGTAAAGTTGATTTCAAAATAAAATCTTTAATGTCAAAAAATACTGATGAATGTTAGTTTTATTAAAGCATATAAAAATTAAATAACTAATATTTAGAGTTACTTCTAGAATTGATTTCAAAATAAAATCTTCACTATGATGAATTATTGATGAATGTTGTTTTTTTAAAGCATATAAAAATTAAAATATAACTAGGTAGTCATTCAAAAATAATTTAAAATATAAAAAATCTCTGAAGATCCTAACCAATCCATACCGAACTGAACCGTCACAATAGTCCCGAATACCAAACCGAACCGAAAAATAAGAATCTCCGAACCGAACCGAACCGAACCGAACCGAATTTTTGGCACGGTTCCGGAGATCGAATTTTGGGATCTCTGAAGTTTGGTACGGTTGTGGAGATTTATCAATCTCCGAACCGTACCGACTCACGCTCACCCCTAATTTAAAGTACCTATGAAAGAACAGATAGAGCAATGGATGAAGAAGAAAATATTGTCCAAGAAACAACTATCTCCTCTTCTGTTTACAACAATGCAACTTGTGGATCATAATAAAAAAAAAAAAATCAAAATGAAAGAACATATAAATTACCATGAGAAGGAGTTGGACGAGACGGAAGAGTGGAGAAGTACTCAAATGCGATTTGAGCGGCGGTTTCATGTGCCTCTTTAGTAGACTTGGATGGCAATGGAGTCTCAAATACCTGTCGTGTACAGTTACGACGGTGGTGAAGCGAGGCATGTGACTGGGGCCATCTCCGACGGTTTCGTATTTTGGAAGCGCCAACCTCCATCCCTGGTAGAGTTCCTGCAATCTTGATTTGTATATTTTCTTTCCTGCCATTCTCTATGTTGTTCTAGTGGGGTGATTGGAAATTGGGATTGCGATGTGCGTTAATGAAAAGAGGGTTTTGCGGAGACGATGATTACATGTAGAATAAATAATGGGTAGGAGATATTTTTATTTTTGAAAAAAAAATTAAAGATTAAAAATTGCTCGCGCATCTAATGGCGAAGCTCTCATCATCAGATTATATTAATATTTAATAGTTTCCACTTTTTCGAGGGGAAACTGTCATCTATTGGGGAAACTGACAAAATAATAGAAGGTGGGGTCTAGGCTTGCGTGCTCCAGGGTTTAAGATGATCCTCTCCCATTGTCGTATCAAATTTCATCCCACCGTCGCCCAGGTCTCCGGATTACCAATTGGAGCAAAATTCCAATTACTAAATTGAGCTACCCAGGTCTCCGTCCAAACGCACGCATGGTACAACTAAAAATTAAATAGCTGATATTTAGAGTTACTTCTTGAATTGATTTCAAAATAAAATCATCAATATGATGAATTATTGATGAATGTTGTTTTTTTAAAGCATATAAAAATTAAAATATAACTAGGTAGTCATTCAAAAATAATTTAAAAAATAAAAAATCTCCGAAGATCCAAACCAAACCATACCGAACCGAACTGTCCCAATAGTCCCGAATACCAACCCAAACCGAACCGAAAAATAAGAATCTATGAACCAAACCGAACCGACTTTTTGGCACAGTTCCGAAGATCGAATTTTGGGATCTCCGAAGTTTGATACGGTTCTGGAGTTTTATCAATCTCCAAACCGTACCGACTCACGCTTACTCCTAATTTAAAGTACCTATGAAAGAACAAATAGAGCAATGGATGAAGAAGAAATATTATCCAAGAAACAACTATCTTCTCTTCTATTTACAACAATGCAACTTGTGCATCATAATAAAAAAAATTTAAAATGAAAGAACATATAAATTACCATGAGAAGGAGTTGGACGAGACGGAAGAGTGGAGAAGTACTCAAATGCGATTTGAGCGGCTGTTTCCTGTGCCTCTTTAGTAGACTTGGATGGCAATGGAGTCTCAAATACCTGTCCGTGTACAGTTACGGCAGCGATAAAGCGAGGCATGTGAATAGGGCCATCTCCGACGATTTCGTATTTTGGAAGCGCCAACCTCCATCCCTGGCAGAGTTCCTGCCATCTTGATTTGTATATTTTCTTTCCTGCCATTCTCTATGTTGTTCTAGTGGAGTGAGGGGAAATTGGGATTTCACTGTGGGTTAATGAAAAGAGGGTTTTGCGGAGACGATGATTACATGTAGAATAAATAATGGGTAGGAGATATTTTTTTGAAAAGAAATTTAAATATTAAAAATTGCTCGCGCATCTAATGGCGAAGCTCTCATCATCAGATTAGATTAATATTTAATAGTTTCCACTTTTTCGAGGGGAAGCTGTCATCTATTGGGGAAACTGACAAAATAATAGAAGGTGGGGTCTAGGCTTGCGACCTGGTCCAGGGTTCAAGATGATCCTCTCCCAATGTCGTATCAAATTTCATCCCACCGGCGCCCAGGTCTCCGGATTACCAATTGGAGCAAAATTTCAATTACTAAATTGAGCTACCCAGGTCTCCATCCAAACGCACGCATGGTACAAGTAAAAATTAAATAACTAATATTTAGAGTTACTGCTTGAATTGATTTCAAAAAAAAAATCTTCAATATGATGAATTATTGATGAATGTTGTTTTTTTAAAGCATATAAAAATTAAAATATAACTAGGTAGTCATTCAAAAATAATTTAAAAAATAAAAAATCTCCAAAGATCCGAACCAAACCATACCGAACAGAACTGAACCGTCCCAATAGTCCCGAATACCAACCTGAACCAAACCGAAAAATAAGAATCTCTTAAGCAGACCGAACCGACTTTTTGGCACGGTTCCGAAGATCGAATTTTGGGATCTCCGAAGTTTGGTACGGTTCTGGAGTTTTATCAATCTCTGAACCTGACCCACGCTCAACCCTAATTTAAAGTACCTATGAAAGAATAGATAGAGCAACGGATGAAGAAGAAAATATTGTCCAAGAAACAACTATCTTCTCTTCTGTTTACAACAATGCAACTTGTGCATCATAATAAAAAAAAAAATTCAAAATGAAAGAACAAATAAATTACCATGAGAAGGAGTTGGACGAGACGGAAGAGTGGAGAAGTACTCAAATGCGATTTGAGCGGCGGTTTCCTGTGCCTCTTTAGTAGACTTGGATGGCAATGGAATCTCAAATACCAGTTCGTGTACAGTTACGGCGGCGGTGAAGCGAGGCATGTGACTGGGGCCATCTCCGACGGTTTCGTATTTTGGAAGCGCCAACCTCCATCCCTGGCAGAGTTCCTGCAATCTTGATTTGTACATTTTCTTTCCTGCCATTCTTTATGTTGTTCTAGTGGGGTGAGGGAAAATTGGGTTTTCGCTGTGCGTTAATGAAAAGAGGGTTTTGCGGAGACGATGATTACATGTAGAATAAATAATGGGTAGGAGACATTTTTTTTGAAAAGAAATTTAAAGATTAAAAATTGCTCGCACATCTAATGGGGAAGCTATCATCATCAGATTAGATTAATATATAATAGTTTCCACTTTTTCGAGGGGTAGCTGTCATCTATTGGGAAAACTGACAAAATAATAGAAGGTGGGGTCCAGGCTTGCGACCTGGTCTAGGCTTCTAGATGATCTTCTCCCAATGTGGTATCAAATTTCATCCCACCGGCGCCCAGGTCGTCGGATTACCAATTGGAGCAAGATTCCAATTATTATATTGAGCTACCCAGGTCTCCGTCCAAACGCACGCATGGTACAACTAAAAATTAAATAACTAATATTTAGAGTTACTTCTAGAATTGATTTCAAAATAAAATCTTCAATATGATGAATTATTGATGAATGTTGTTTTTTTAAAGCATATAAAAATTAAAATATAACTATTTAGTCATTCAAAAATAATTTAATAAATAAAGAATCTCCGAAGATCCGAACCAAACCATACTGAACCGAACCGTCTCAATAGCCCCGAATACCAAACTGAACCGAACTGAACCGAAAAATAAGAATCTTCGAACCGAACCAAACCAACTTTTTGGCACGGTTCCGGAGATCGAATTTTGGGATTTCCGAATTCTGATACGGTTCTGGAGATTTATCAATCTCCGAACAGTACCGACCCACTCTCACCCCTAATTTAAAGTACCTATGAAAGAACAGATAGAGCAATGGATGAAGAAGAAAATATTAAGAAACAACCATCTTCTCTTCTTTTTACAACAATGCAACTTGTGCATCATAAAAAAAAATTTCAAAATGAAAGAACATATAAATTACCATGAGAAAAGGAGTTGGACAAGACGGAAGAGTGGAGAAGTACTCAAATGCGATTTGAGTGGCGGTTTCCTGTGCCTCTTTAGTAGACTAGGACGACAATGGAGTCTCAAATACCTGTTCGTGTACAGTTACGGCGACGGTGAAGCGAGGCATGTGACTGGGGCCATCTCCGACGGTTTCGTATTTTGGAAGCGCCAACCTCCATCCCTGGCAGAGTTCCAGCAATCTTGATTTGTACATTTTCTTTCCTGCCATTCTCTATGTTGTTCTAGTGGGGTGAGTAGAAATTGGGATTTCACTGTGCGTTAATGAAAAGAGGGTTTTGCGGATACGATGATTACATGTAAAATAAATAATGGGTAGGAGATATTTTTTTTGAAAAGAAATTTAAAGATTAAAAATTGCTCGCGCATCTATTGGGGAAGTTTTCATCATCAGATTAGATAAATATTTAATAGTTTCCACTTTTTCGAGGGGAAGCTGTCATCTATTGGAGAAACTGACAAAATAATAGAAGGTGGGGTCCAGACTTGCGACCTGATCCAGGCTTCAAGATGATCCTCTCTCAATGTGGTATCAAATTTCATCCCACCGGCGCCCAGGTCTCCGGATTACCAATTGGAGCAAAATTCTAATTACTAAATTGAGCTACCCAGGTCTCCGTCCAAACGCACGCATGGTACAACGACTTCGGATCACCCGCAATGAAACGACATACAACTATTGCATGAGAACACGGTTTTCTGTGTATCAGCCACTTCCGACAAGTACAACGTCGGTGGGGGTAATTAACCATAGTCCTCAACAATTGTCATTGTTATCCTATCAAATTATAGTGTGAAAATCATTTAAAAATCATCAAACTATTCAATATTCTAACAAGTAACACGACATGTTTGAAATAATTGTAAGTGTACATAACATCATGTCACACTACAAGCATCCGATGAAGTTGCACATATGACATGGTTTGTCTCTTCAAAGTTATCTAAGGTAAAGATTGCCAAAAAAAAAAAAAAAAAAAAAATTTAATATTTTTTTAAATATTTTCAACGTATGCTATACGAATTTATTAACTTTGCAATTTCTAATATTTTTCTTAGTAAAAATATATTTTGAATTTCACGTATATTCATAATTTGTAACCTCATGTGCATCTTGACCTTGTAGTTATCCAAAAAATATATACGTATATGGTCAAGATGTAGATGTTGCGAATTATAAGTTATCATAAAGTTCATGTTGTACCCAAAACAAAATATCTGAAATTTTTAATTTTAATGATAAGCTATTGGTAGGCAAATCTACTTAATTACCTAACTACTATAAAATGAGGTTTTAAGAAGGAATATTTTGTTGGTTGAAGATCATTTGTTATTACTAATAAATTAGTACAATATCGTGTACTACACGGGTACTTAGTAAAAAAATTATATTTAAAATTAAATAATAATAACAACAAAAATTGTTTCAATTTTAATTTTTTTTTGTTTTGAAAAAAATATATTATTATGTATATTTAAAATGACACCGTCACTTACACGACTTATCATCTTATATTATATATTATTTTGAATTTATATCAGATAACTACTTGGTATTTAAGTTATTCTAAACAATTTTATGTTTTGAAATTAATATTAATGGGTAATTTAATTTCAATGATAAAGATAATTATTTATTTATTTTGTATGTATAATATAGATGTCAAATCGAATCTCATAAAGACACAAATAATTTTATATATTATATATAAAAAATTTAATAAATAAAAATATTATTAAATTTTAAATATATTTATAACTTAAGTTGATAAATTCTGGTTTTATATAATTCATGTGTTTGGTAAATTTATAAAGATCTATGTTACATGCAGGTAATAGGCAAAAATCCAAGTCAATTAATTGGCTGAGGAAAGCCCACTTGTTATTAATGTGTATTTATCATCAAATGTGAATGTACAAATCATAGAGGTAATTAATGTGAATGTACAAATCGAAGCTCTATGTTTGGCTAAGGAAGCCCACTGGTTATTGTTTGTCCCATTTTTGTGTCTTTATTTCGGGTTTATTTTCTCTTTATTTT